CCATACTACACACGTTATTATTAACATATTCAGATACAGAATCTAACTCCGATAGAAATTCAATATGTCTTGTCAGATCACCCATATTCAAGACTAAAAGATAATCACTTAGCATTGACCCCTATGAAATAATCACCTAAATCATTCAAAATCAAATTTTTCGTCTTTGTTTTCTATACAACCAAAAACAATTAAATACTAAAGATATCATCATCAGCAACATCAGAATCATCCATACTTTCGTCCTAATCAAATTGGGGCAGCAACGTGAATTGCTATCTTTCAAGTTTCTCGATACAAAGTATCTTCTACAGCAAAGAGTGAGGAAGAGAAAGAGGAAGAGAGAGAAACAGTACCTCTGGATCTTGCCTTTCACGTTGTCGATGGTCTCAACCTCAAGAGTGATGGACTTTCCAGTTAGGGTTTTCACCCAAATAAAAAAGTGTCTTTCTGGTTTCTATCTGAGAGAGAGAGAGAGAGAGAAACGCGTGATGTGGATGACCAACGTGCTGGTTTTGGTTTCTATTCTACTACCCCTGCCTCAAAATCCAGATGGAAAACGGAATGAGATTTTGGGTTGTAAGATTTTGCACAAATGAAAACAATTTTTTCTTTAATCTGGATTTTGGGTGGCGTTATGAGCTTCTGGGTATGGGTTTTCAGATTTTGGGGTTTGTAGTTATAATTCACAAAACAATTAAATGCCGAAATGAAGGAAGAAGAAAAGGCGCGAATGCCAAAGGAGGGAAATTGTAGCGTACCCACTTACATAGTAAGCTTGCTTTTTCTCTACAGCCGTTGAGATTAGATCGGATGGCTGAAATTGATCCTCACATAGTGTCCTCATTTAGGAGTCCTCGTTAGAGCCCAGCCGTTCATTAAAAATAACGTGGCGTGATATGTAAAACCGTTGAGCGAATGGATCAAGACAACGATAACCCATGTGATGTGGACTACAACCTATGAAAACACATTCAGTGGAGTGAGGTTGGATTTTGTGGCTGACATATGACCCAAGGTGTGGAAAGTTGGCTGTAGGAAGGAGTAGTCTGAAATAAAGTGGAGTGAGGTGAGGCCCATGAAGGGAATTTATGGTGTAGGGATTTCTAAAATCTCATGAAGCTATGAGAAAACAAATCATCTTGCACATGCATATCTAATATGTGAACATAATGAAGTGGAAGCAAGAATAAAAGCTAGAGATTCATACAAGTCTCATTTTAGGTACCAATCTTTCTACGCTTATCAAAACTTGCACCATTGACACTAAAATCAAGTATGAAAGAGATGGTAGGAAGAAGACATACCCTTGAACCGAATCTTGAAACCAAGGATGGTGTCAAGTAAAGGGTTTGGTCCCTTTAATGTTGATTCTCCACTTTGCTCTCCAAATAGACACAATAGAGTTGTACCTCCCTAAAGAATCTTTACCAAGGATGGAGGAGAATAGGCAACATTTTGGGTACCTATAGTGGTTTAAAAACCTTTCATGGAAAAATTATAATTTTATTTCTCATTATATCCTTAAATCCTGTTATCATTTCCTTGTCCTACTTTCCAAGTCATTCACATTTAATCATAAACAAAATTTAATAAAAGCATTTGAATTCAAATATTTATGCTTGTAAAGTAATAGTCATAAATAATTCATTCATGATCAATTAATAAAACTTTAATTGTATTAAATTGATTTATAAAACAAAAGTCCACTCGCTGTACGTCCGAGCTAGCCTCACCCTTCGAGGGTCCTTCCAGTGGGTTCAATGAAGCACGAGTACCTATTTAAGCAATTAAAATATTTAATTAATAAAATAGCTCAACCATAAATATTTAATCAAAACCCTGACCCCTGGCCTCAAAAGTGCGTGTACATAACTTAAGAAGGTTCCTAGGCCCATTTTCAATAATTATGACAGGTGGAATGGTCTGAAAAGACCCGAGGTTAAATAAGCGATTAAATTCCCATATTGGTCATTTCGGTCCCCCGTGGGGTCCACGACCTCCGATTAATAATCCAAGAGTTCCTATAGGTTCAACACAAATTACTAAACATGCCATGCAAGTTTCGTTCAAATCGAACGATCAGATTGCTCACTATCGCACGATCCAAATTATAAGCTTATGGGTGTGCGATCCATTGGGTTCTAATTAGTAAGGCCGCGGGGGTGATTATGAACTCTTTCTTTTATGGAGAATTAAAACTCCCTTTTTAATTATCCCTTTTTGATGACCTAATTACGGAATATCCTCAGGGTTTCAACAAATTGTGGGTGACGTCTAGCAACATATCACAGTTACCCAATCTAATATAGAATATCTTAGGAGAGCCCAGTTAGTTGGAATTACAACGCAATTCGATCATTCTCTATTTCACAATGTTCTTAATTTCTTTAATAGCATACAAAATTCATGTCAAATCCTTAATGTGGTCTCTATTTGCTATATGATTCAATATGAGCATAATTGGAAGACTCTTTCTCAATTGCGCTCCGACATCGGGTGGAGATTCTTGAATCATATCTTAGAACATTCTCTTCCTTTTACTGGAAGTCGAGATCCCTTGTCATACACTCACTTGCCTCTATGGACTTGTTGACGATTCCGACATTACCTTGAATCAAGCCCAAGGATGAGCTCAACCATATGATATAATTAGAGATCGACTATTCATCCATAAGACAACCATGGTGCCTCAGGTCTAAGGATTAACCTTGCATCATTGCAATCGAAGAAATCTTCCATAAGAGACTCAATCTATAAGTAGACTCAAAAGATGAGAGACTCATTTGTTATAAAACCAAATTCTCTTCCTTTGTGGATTGAAGAACCTCAGATAAGAGACTCAATCTATAAGTGGATGTTGAATTTAAATACAATGTAGGACAAGATACATTTCAACAAGCTTTATCTAACTACTTGGGAATAAATAATATACAGGTCGGACTAGATTACGATGGCTCACCGATGCATGGTGGGTGCTCCTGTGAGTCTAGGTTCTTGATTTTCATCTAGTCTCCAGTTCTTGGTACACAATTGACGAACTACATAGTTGAAGCAACTTAAATACGCACACTGACATATGTAAGTGTGTATGAATGTGTATATAGATTTAGTAATCTCTATTTAATTTAGAGTTCATACTCCTCAAAAGCATGATGTAAATAGATTTAGGAATTACTTTGTAGAACTTCTGATATGCTTAAAATGTGAGACTTCTCCATCTTAAACAAGCTTCTGTTGAGTAAAGATTCCCTTTAAAACTCCAAGGTGGCCTCACATTTAATGAAAAAAGAGTAGAAATTGAAAGAGAACAAAAGAATCCTTTGAGTTTTGTTTAATTTGAATCAAACTTTCAACGATTGGATCGGATCCAAATCTGAAATGGTAATGGGAATTTTTCAAGGGCTGGTGAAACTCTGCTCGTTCTGAGAAGATACTCATTGATGCTATACCATCAGATAGATCTTATGCATATTGCAATGGTTCGCGGAAAGTCTACTATAAATGTTAACGTGGTCCAATACTTATCAATTGAATTTGTACAAGAATTTGGAATCTCTTTGTTCTAGTTAATTGTCCTATGCACTATTGACTGATATACTTTGTTCAAGAAATCCTTGAGAGTTTTCAGCATGCAATTTTCTCACTGTTACTGCTTCAAAATAAAATAACAATGCCAGATATATAGAGGGAAGCTCCCTGATGGAACCTTTGTTGCTATAAGAAGCTTGAAAATGAGAAAGAGGCAGAGTCCACAGGTCTACACACACCTCCTTGAGCAGATTTCAAAATTGAGACATAGCCATTTGGTTAGCGCTCTTGGACATTGCTTGGAGTGCCATCCAGATGATTCAGGCGTCAGTAGAATATTTCTTATATTTGAGTTTGTTCCAAATGGAACTCTGAGAGGCTGCATCTCTGGTAAAGTTCTTTTCATGTACTTATACTGCTAACTAGAACAAATGGATCGCATTTGCAAATGACCTTATAGTTTATTCCATGAGGATATATAGAATGTGCTCCTACTCTGAGCTTGTTATATGAGCCATTGGTTTGCTATTCAGAGAGAGTGATTGCAGATTCAGATGTTATCGCATACTCTACACGTAACGCATATGAAACGAAGATGAATCAATCAAGTTATTGTTTAAAGTAATCTATAATATCTAATGCATCAAGTGCCGAATTTATCAACAATATTTCTTATTTTTAGAAGATTTCTAGGTGAGACCTATTCAATTGCTCAACATTGCATAGTACAGGTTGCAATGGAGAGTAAAATCCCCCTCATTACTTTCTTCTTCTTCTTTTTCTTTGATTGATTTCCTCCCTCACTGTCTTAGCTTTTTCAGCAATTAAATATTCATTGCTAACACTTAGTTTGGCAGAAGGACCTCCAGGACGGAAGCTTACCTGGCCGCAGAGAATAATAGCTGCAATTGGAGTTGCAAAGGGTATTCAGTTTCTGCATACCGGGATTGTTCCTGGTGTTAAATCAAATAATCTGAGGATAAAAAATGTCTTATTGGATCACGATCTTCATGTAAAAATAAGCAGCTATAACCTACCTCTTTTGGCTGAAAGCAGGGGAACGGTAAGACATAAAAAATATATATCTGATCATCAGTAGTAACAAGGGACCATCCTAAATGAAGTTCATCGTCATTGAATCTACATCTTGCTTCACAGAAATGCATTCCTTAGTCATCTCTCGTTTATTGTTTGGTTAAGCCGTACATTGTCATTGGCAGTGCAAAATGCCAACAATACTTTGTTTCACTATCTCACAAAACTTAACTTTTAAATCTTTTTTTATTTATTTTTGCATACTTTGTACATTGGTGATAGTTTCATAAGCAATTCCTGACCCAGTTTTCCCTTTCAATACAGAAAATAGATCCAATTGAAAGAAGTGGAAGATTAGATTTTTCCTGCACCATGTTTTTACTCATATGCTTGGGATTACATTCTTTATATTTATACTATTTATCTTGATCCTTCATATTCTGAAAAAATGTCCATGTGAGGCTCCTGGAAACCTGAATAATGCCTTCTTCAGTAATTCTTTCACAAAATGATGCTAGTTATTATTCAGAGAATGCATGTGTAACTATGCCCTAAACGCATCTATGCATACAAGTACACAACACATGCACACATACTGGGATTGCTTTGTTAATTGCTGGTCTTTTGCAGGGCAAGCCATGAGTGTAAGAATGATGTTTATGATATTGGAGTCATCTTGCTGGAAATCATTTTGGGGAGGCCTATCATGTTCCAAAATGAAGTTGGAGTTTTGAAAGACCTTGTGAGTGTTTTCTCGTAATCAATTGGTTCCCTTTGTTTACTCTAAAACTCTTACATTAAGATTAGGTTGCTACTACTTCCCAGTTAGAAAAGTTTGGAAAATTAGATCCTGCAAAGACCAAAAAATTGCGTAGAACATATGCCCCTAGCTAAGCCCAACTTTTGTTTCATTACCGAGTACTGACAGAACTGAAACACCCTGAAACATTAAATTTTCTTTCTCCAACTAAACTAGCAATTTGGTTTTGGTTCTTATGAAGTTACAAGTAAGTTTAACGACTGATGACACGGGTCGAAGGAGCATTGTCGATCCAGCAGTGCACAAGGAGTGCTCCGATGAATCATTGAAGACAATGATGGAGATATGTGTGAGGTGTCTGTCCAATGAGCCAACTGATAGGCCTTCTGTTGACGATATTCTGTGGAATTTGCAGTTTGCAGCACAAGTTCAGGATTCAGTAAGAGAAGACTATCTGAGTCATCAAGGCTCACCTGTTTCATCAAGGCTCACCTCATTAAGTGTTCAGGTTTTAATGAGGCCACTTTGTCTGCACGTTGTCATATCTTATACTGTATTCTTGATATGTTAATGAAATTCATTTTCTAAAAAATAAAAAAAAACGCTCCACAAGGTCTTAATTCCTTTTTCTTTTTAAAAATGTTTAGTTACTTTGTATAGTTATTTTATTTAGTTATGTTTATTTTCACCTCAAGACCATTTATTGCCCTATGAAATACTGTATATGAGGTGGTATTCTTTGTCTAGTAGTTCTTATACTGTATATGCTTTCATACTTGTAGCGATTTTGGCATTCGTTTAGCTTCTGCCGCTCCAAACTATGAAATTTATAATTTTTATGCACATAAAGGGATTGCAATGAGTTAAACTAGGAGTGTGATGTAACCCATTTTTAGTAGGCCTAATTGCCTTCTTTGAAAAGAATCCATGCATCCGATGTCCTGAGTTTAATTCCCCCTCTTCACCTCCCCCAATGTTACGATATTGATGGGGCATTCTAACTTGGACCCCATTGATCTAAAATCCAAAATTGACACAGGCTGATCAATGAATTGTATGTACTTGGAGTTTATTCAAATCAGACTCAAGATTTTATTGTTATGGACAATCACTGACATTTCTTCATACTTTTACCTCCCATGATGGAGTACTTATGGGGGCTATGGATGTTCACATTGCAATATGAATACTTGATACATGTTAGAGGGCTTGGAAAAATACATAAAATACAAAAAGTTTCACACGTGAGAGAGATCAATCCTACAAAATTTATGAAGGAAAAAAAAAACAAAGAGTTAGTATCTCAACGGCTGTGGGCTGCGGATTAAGAAAACTGTACCTTCAGTCGCAGAGTCGCATTTCTACCTTCCGAATATTAAACTCTCCTCCATGGAATCGTTCCCTTTTATTTGTCACCATGGTCTTGGATTAAATTGAGATACATATACCGTGTTATGTATGACTTGGTTGTTAAGAATTCAATTTGCCATCTGTTATAGAACCAAACCTTATACAACAATCTTGATGGCTGGCTACTCCCTCTTTGTTCAAGAGAAAAGCTAAAGAATGCCTGAAAATTGTCTCAACTAGCTTCTGCCTTATTCCTCCACAATCAAATTAAGCTTAGAATGTAGACATGATAAGCATTCACTCCTGATTTTACTGAACAAAGACTGGGATATCAGTAGACAAACCTCAAACATAACTCTGTATATCAAACTCAATCAGCACCTTTACATGGTCACCTGGAACAATGGAGAGTGTGAGTGAGCTGCTGGGTTTGCTTGTAAAACTCGATCAGCATTTGGTGTTTGGGATTTAGTGTCTGATTTCTTTTGGAAAGCTTTAAAAATACCACCTCTAAGTATAGGTGCATTCTTATCAGGTTTGACACACAAGGTAGACCATATAGAACTCTTTGCAGCCTCATCTGGGTCATCAATTCTCAATGTCTTGGGTACCCAAAGGCACGGTTTTGTTTTTATTCCTGCCTATACATTTGCATCTCTAGAATATTTTCCCGATCTTGGCGAGCTATTGCCTGAACATCTGCTGTTGCCAATGGAAGATGAAGGTGACAAGCTGCCAGCAGATCCAACCAATTGAGCATTCCATTTTCTAGCATCCGAGCTTGGCATGTAACCCTGGTATGAGGAAGGTGCAATTGGGAAAATGAAACTGGGAATACAAAAACCAGGAACTGTAACCATAGGCAGAGAACCCATATGAGAAGGATTAGGATTATTGCTATGAGGTCTAAACATCATCATGCCCCAACTTGGGTTCTCAGCCCATTGTGGAACAGGAAAATATTGCTCAGTATAGATTATAATCGTTTCCATATCTTGGTAGATCAACCTGCTCCATTTCTTTTCCCAGGCATGCATTTTGCTGTGAAGTAGTGGCTGTCAAGGAAGAGCTGGATGATGAGGGCTCCTCACTATTATCTCCAGCAGCTGCAGAGCCATCTTCAGAACTTCTCTTCTGGTCTTTATGATTAAGCGCAGTTGCTATAGATTCAACTAAAACTGTATCTGTGCCAGAATTTAAGACTTCCCTCATCCCATTGACAGGTTTTGGAGAGGCAGGAAGTTGAACAGGCGATAGATGCTGTTGGCCAACAAAGTTAAGGGTGTCTCCTTGGGTGACTGGTACTGCACTTGGTTCGCCCACAACCTGATGATACTGTGAAGATGAATGCTTATTCCTGTGCCGCCTAGTCCCTAAAGGAAGATTTCTTATTGTTCCCCCGGCTGTCCAATATCTTCGGCAGCTCTTGCAAAAGTGCCTCGGTTGGTATACACTATAATTATTAAAATAGCAAAACTTTGTTTTTAAGCTGTTGCAGCGAGGGCAAGGAAGAACCTTGTCTGGCTTTGTGAAAGCCTTTTCTTTGCCATCATCAGTATCACTTGCAATGCAGTCTTCTTCTGGATTACAATCAACTTCACCCTCATTCTCCAAGATTTGACCATGGTGATTGTTTTCACTGCCTTTATCTAGTTCAAAAAATTGATCTTGCTTGCAGGATATTTTCACAGAAGGGTCCTCCATTTCTCTACACTCACCCTGAAAATTGAAAATTTTGATTGTTTACGGCACTCAAATCGCAATAACAGCAATTTATAGTTAATTCACAGCATGTAAAACAAGGAATTCGGCATCAAAGATGAGCAATAACATCAATTACATGCATTAATAAAAATTAAGTTCATGGCAAAGAAAAAGCTAAAACCAAATGACAGTTACAAAATGAAGCTGCAGCATGCCCAGATACAATATACCAAGTTGCAAACTATATAAATCTACTCACATCATCCACACATTATCAAATTATGATTTCCAAAATAACTAACCACGAATGAGAAACAAAAACAAAATGTGGGTTCTTGCTGATTTTTATTGATGGGAGGAAATTTGGTTGAAATCATTCTATAAGCTGCCCCTTCTGCTTGTAAAGCAAATCCAGCAAAACTTTATGGCATTTAACATTTTAAGTACTATGAAGGAAGAACACAGCGTCCTGAAATTCAAAACATAACAATTTAAAAGCTAAACAAAGCAGTCAGTTATATGTGATTTTCTACAAAATAGAAAAAGAAACTTGTAGAGCAGTAGAAGCCCAGATACCAAAAATGGAAACAGAGTAGAAAAAAGTAAAAAACGCAAAGGCTTGTTAAGAAAACAAAATATATAAACCCAAAGAAGCTTAGAGTCGATTGGCATATGAAGCTTACCATGGCAGCTATGGGCATATCTGCAACCCAACACTCTTCGTTGGAATTATGTACGGACATATCCGGAATCTGGAGTTCCGGCACCGGAATATTCCTCCCGAAGAGCTTAATGGCTGGATCTCTCACTGCAGACATTGCCTCAGGTTGGACTCGCAGAGTCACAGTATCACAAAAGCTCCAAGTGAAACAGCAAGACGCAGGGCTTGTTTGGGAGTAGGGGTGGGCATTGGAACCGCAAAACCGTAAAATCGAACCAAACCAATCCGAAAAAAACCGTGTTGACCGAAAAAGTCAACAACCGAGTCCAATTCAAACCGAATCAGTTCAGACCGATTCCAGTTCCGGTTTTCCATCCAAAAGAACCGGTCCAATCCGAACCGGTCCAATAAAATTAATTTATATATATTTTTATATATAATTTAACATGTTTTTTATTGGTTGTCTAAAAGCCAAAGAATAAACAATAAAGAATACCAAAAAGAGGAGTGAGAACATTGGTACAATCAATTCTATACTATTTTAATGCCCAACTTGGAAACATGAACAAAGAGACGTGATTAAAAGGCAAGTGGGGTGAGAATTCAGAGTGTTGATGATGTCTTGGGCAGAGAGAAACGGCTCTTTCTTATTTTTTTAATGAAAATTTTCATACTTTTTGTTTTGTTTATTCCTCTCATTTCTCTCTCCTCTCAAAGTATTCTCTCAACTTTTCTCTGATTTTTTCTTTCTTTCCTCTTCTTTCTCTCTTATTCCTCCTTTCGTCTTCTTCTTCAACCCTTTCTCTCTTCCCCTTTCTGCTGGTTCCAATTTTTATTTTCTATCCCTCTTTCTTCTTCTTCTTCTTCTTTCTCTATTTTTTTCTTCCCCTTTCTCTCTTCCTCTTTCTTTTTCCCTTTATGCTGGTTCCTTTTTTTTTTTCCCTTTCCCTTTTGCTTTTTCTTCTTTCTGTTTCTTCTTCTTCCCCTTTCTTCCCCTTTTGGCTAGTCGAATTTTTTTTTTCCCTATCTCTCTTTCTT